TCAATAAAGGAATGGAATGTGTGAGACACAATGTATATACATTTTATATGCAAACTAATATAAAATATTTTTTTTAATTGTTACGTCTACTTCTAGTTTCTCCACCGTTGAACTTTTCACTCCTAAACCTGCCAGCATTTTCTTCTGCTCATCCCAGAATAATCTGTTTAAAATACCTTTCATGTCTTAAACTCTTTTTTTCTTCACCAGCTTACTCCTGTCTTCACCAATTCTCTTTGCTTGTCTATTTTTAGTATCCCTACCTTACTCCCCTTTCCATATTTTTTCTACATAGCTTTACTGTTCTGCCAGATTTTCTTACTTTCACAAATTAGTTTTACCTTATCTGACAGTTTTCAGCTTCAAATTTTTTCCTATAAATAGATCCTCTTAGTTATTTTATCCTGAATTCTTTTTCTGTTTTGATGAAAACTCTCTGGTGTGAACTCAACATTAAAATAAGCATTCCACAATTCCATTTTTAACTATTTATATTACTCTTAGTCATACCATAAAATGTTCTTCCCCTGACGTGGAAAACCCTCCTTGCTGCATTCTTTTGTTATGCTTTGGGGAAATGCTGTAGTTTTTGCTTTTATTTTTATTTTTGGGAACACATTGAGACATTTCGTTACCAAGAGTTTTGAAAATTATTACAATTTAATCAAATCTTTACTCCAAGATGAACCAGTAGGAATGATATCATTGTTGTTGTTTATTGTTATGTACTGTCGAGTCGCTTGTGACTCATAGCAACCCTATACTCAACAGCCCTGAAACCTGCTTTATCCTGTGCCAACCTATTGTCTCTGATACACCCACCCTCATTACCCCAGTCACTGAATCAATCCATCTCATCAAGGATCTTCCTCTCTTGCACTGTCCTCTACCTTCCCAAGCTTGACATCCCTCTCTAAGGACTGGTTCCTCCTTGCAACATGCCCAAAATATGTCAGATGAAGCCTCAAAATACTTGCCTCCAAGGGACAGTGTGGTTTCGCCCTCTCTAGAATGAACCTATTTGTTCTCCTGGCAGTCCATGGTATATTCAATACTCTTCTCCAGCACCACAGCATCTATTCTCTTTCTATCATCCCCAATCCTTGTCCAGCTTTTGGATGCATATTAAGTAATTGTTAAGAATATGGCCTGGATCAGGTTCACCTTAGTCTCCAGACTGACATCATTGCTCTTCAGTACTCTGGAGAGGTCCCTGACAGCAGACTTTCCCAATGCAATTTGTCTTTTGATTTGCTGGATGCTGGTACCAAGAGTGTTGATTGTGGAGCCAAACAAACTAAAGTTGTTAACAATCTCAATCTCTTTACTATTTATCAGAATGATACCATAGAATGTGCCAATGCACAACACCTAGATTAGATGGAAATGTTAATAGTTGGGAATATGAGTGAGGGTGATTTCTAGAGCTGTGATGTTTGTCAGTTGTTGCTGTCATTGTTGTTGTTGTTGTTGTTGTTGTTGTTGTTTGGGGCCATTGAGTTGAGCATGACTCGTAATGAGCCTGTGAACAACAGATTGGAAACCCGACCCTGTGCCATCCTCATCTCTGATACACTTGAACCCATTATTGTAGTCACTGTGTTAATCTGTCTCGTTGCGGGTCTTCTCCTCTTAGGCTGACTTTCCACCTTCCCAGCATGATGTCCCTTTCCAAGGGATAGCCTCTCCTAGCAACATGTACAAAGTATGAGAGATGAAGCTTCTCCATCCTTGCCGCTGGATACAAGCATCTTTTTTCTTTGTCTTCCTTTCTTTCCTTGTGTGTAACCTAGACCATATTTTGTTTTATCTCTGCCATTATACAGTAGTTCTCTTGTATTAAGAAACTTTAGAAAATCCAACTGGAAATGAAACTCAGAGTCCTACCACCTAAAAGAAGTAACTATTAATAACGTATTGGTGTCCTCTTCCTATGTTTGGGTATTTATTTCTTACATAATTGTGCTTACATTGAGTAAATAATTCTATATGCCATTCTGTTTTCTTAAAATTCATTTGATTAACACTGTTTGGAATCTAGCATGTGCTGGACACTGCCTCTGGTAAGAGAGTTCGAAGTCCTGTGGAGATCTGGTGGGAGACATGGACGCACAGCCACAGTGCGCAGCTAGTGTTCAAAGCTGTTGCCACCAGGGGGAGAAGAGATGTTGCTGAGGGAGATGCCCAGTGTTCAGCTGTGTGCAAAGGTGGGACAGAGGAGCACGGGATGGTAGAATGGGCTCTACTCTACGGTAGTGCTAGGAAGACAAGCTGGAGAGTTGAGAGGAGAAAATGCTTCCATGAGGAGGGGGGGCTGCCCCGTGGGTCAAATGCTCTGGAGCATCTGAGTGAGGGAAGGACAGAGGACTGATTATTGGTTTGGGCAAGATGGTGGACGAATTGGATTTCTGTAGAATGGAGAAGGCACTAACTCAGTTGATGTGTTCTGAAGAAATGGGACAATGCTGTAATGTATTTTGCATGTTTCTTATAATTTAAAGCATAATTTAATCATATGGCCAATTTTACATCCTTTCCACTGTATCACATTAACACTGTTTTTCATTTTTCCTGTTTTAAATAGCAGATAGCTTTTTAAACTTCCCTTTTTTTATTTTTAACATCATTTCCTTTAAAAGAAGTCCTATATGATTGGGTAGTATTGTCATGACAGGAGTCCAGTGCACAATGGAGTGGACTTGAGGGGAGGGATGGCATAGCAATGAAAGAGTTTTTCTTTTACTTTTCAAGGAGAAGAGTGAATTGGAGAGAAGGGGTTGGCAGGGAGAAAAGTGTAACAATGAATAACTGGAAACCCCAAGTCTCTGTAAAATTTCATTAAAATTAATTTGGGGGAAGAAAAAAAAAGGAGTCCTAGAAAGGTAAGTATTGGTGAAAGAGCAGACTATCTTTAGAGCTAATGATTCTTTATTGCTAAACTAATTTCCAAAGGGGAGATGTGGCTTGCGCTTCCTCCAGGGGTGTAAGAGGTCCCTCAAATCCTGACTTTAAGTGGATGCTTCCACAAGATGTTCCCTTGTATCAGATTATTAACCTTTCATAGAGTATCGGTTGGCTAAAAGTGAACTCACATTGTGGAGTGAAAACTATCCAAGGCTTATGCAATAGTTATAGTAAATGGAGACCACACTTCCCAGATTGCAGGTCATAGGGAGAACAAATTAAAGGGATGCGGGTATTGTTTATGAACCCCTTTTCACTTGGATTCTGGTGAAACCTTAAACCAGGTATTGCCAAAGAAATAGCTGAGCCGTGATCTTTCTGCTTCCTTCCTGTGTTCCTATGTGGTCATATCGATGTGATCCAGCTTGGCAGTTCAAGGTTACCCTTTTCCAGTAACCAACCTGCTAATTCTCCATAGCAGCTGCCTGCTGATATTACAGAGTAACTTCTACCCTTTCCCAATGCCTGCCTTGGGTGAGGTTTTATAAGTCATTCCAGTTTGTGGCAAAGAGCAGAACATTTCTAGAGTCCTCATCATCTCAAAAGTGTTCCCATTCCCCTCTTCACCATTCCTCAAAAAGCCCACTGCTTTATAATTACTTCCTGATCATATTATGAGTCGTCCCTGCCCAGCTGCAGTGGCTGGATAAGAGGAGCTGACCTCAGCTGCCTTGCCGTGTTTGCTGCTTAACTGCTTCCTACCCAGTGGACAGCACCTCACTCAGGATTTCGGGGTTTAGAGCACTCAGCTGGCAGTGCCTTACCCTGGGCAGGCAGCACCCAGCATCCCAGCAACCCAGGACAGGCAGCACCCAGCATCCCAGCACCTCACCCAGGACAGGCAGCACCCAGCATCCC